GAGGGGGGAAGCTGGGCCGGGCGGGGTCTCCTGGGGGGGCCTGGCACGAGGATTTTCACACTTCCTCAAGGCCACCAAGGAGAGAGCCCGAGCCCTGCCCACATGCAGGTGCGGCCCCTGCCCAGGGGCCCATGCTGGGCACAGAGCTGCTCCTGGCTGAGGCTGGCCTGGGCAGCTGGGTGTGCTGTCCCCATCAGGTCACTCTCATGGGTATGGACTGTGTGTGTCCTCGTGGCCCTGCTTTGCCCCCCCATTTCAGCCCACGTGCTGTCCTCGCTGACCCATCCCACTCCCATCGGCCCTGGTCGGGCTGGCACCATCACCCCACCCCATCTGTGTCTGTGCCCACGCTGCTGTCCTCATGCTGTTTGGCTCTTCCTGCCCCCTCACTCCAGGGGCTCCCAGGCCGGTTGGGGCAGACAGAGCCCCTGGGTGAGGGGCCGTCCTTGGAGCCCAGCGTTGCCCATCCAGGGCTGCCCACTGCAGCGCTGCTGGGTCCAGGCCCCTCCTGCCCCAGGGCTGTGGCCTCTCCCCGGGGACTGCCCCACCTGCAGATTGGGCTGGGGGGCAGGAAGCCTGACGTGAGCCAGCCCCTCACCCTGCTGCACAGCCCCTGGGCAGGCCAGGCAGGAGAACACCGTGAGCTCAATGGGGAAGGGGGCTCCCTGGGCAGCCCTGACGTTGGCCACAGACTCCGCCAGGGCGAGCCCACGGGCCCTTGTCAGGGCGGAGCCTGCACCGTGCCCAGCGGGCAGAGTCCCCTGAGATAGGCTGGCCAAGAGCAGCAGGCCGGGGGGAGGGGGTTCCTGGTTGACCCCAGGAGCCAAGGAACAAGCCTGGCTCAGGCAGAAATGCTGGCCCATACGGAGCTGGGCACAATCAGCTCAGCCCTGCACCAGCCCAGGGACGGGCAGGGAGGAGACCTGAGGTCTGGCCCTGTTGGGCTGAGCCGTGTCTTGGTTCCAGGGGAGGAGCTGGCTGGTTCCCAGCCTGAGAAGCAGGAGTCCAGGGAGCAGGAGGACAAGGAGATGGAGTTTGTCCCCAAGCTGGATCAAGGGTAAGAAGCCCAGGTTCCTGGCTGACCCCAGCAGCCAAGGAACAAGCCTGGCTCAGGCAGAAATGCTGGCCCATACGGAGCTGGGCACAATCAGCTCAGCCCTGCACCAGCCCAGGGACGGGCAGGGAGGAGACCTGAGGTCTGGCCCTGTTGGGCTGAGCCGTGTCTTGGTTCCAGGGGAGGAGCTGGCTGGTTCCCAGCCTGAGAAGCAGGAGTCCAGGGAGCAGGAGGACAAGGAGATGGAGTTTGTCCCCAAGCTGGATCAAGGGTAAGAAGCCCAGCTTGGCAGTGTGGGGCAGTGACACTGGGGCAGGGCTGGTGCGAGGGGCAGGGATGGGGCTGGGGGATGGGCATGGGGGGTGGATGGGGAGCTGTGGCCCAGCCCAGCTGGATCAAGGGTAAGAAGCCCAGCTTGGCAGTGTGGGGCAGTGACACTGGGGCAGGGCTGGTGCGAGGGGCAGGCATGGGGCTGGGGGATGGGCATGGGGGGTGGATGGGGAGCTGTGGCCTAGCTCAGCTTGCGAGCCCTTTCCTGACTGAGCTCTACCTCCCTGCTGCCGTCTGCAGGCCAATGGAGACAAACCTTCCCCCAGCCCTGCCCAGCCACCCCGCAGCACGTGGGGTTCAGGCCAGCACTGAGAGTGCGGGGCACATGCAGGGCTGTCTCAGGAACACGCCATGGCCGCTGGGTGCTCCGGGGCCCAAGGGAACCCTGGCACATAAGTGTGGCTGCTGCCGGCTGCCTGTGACCATCTCCCTTCTCACCTGCCCAGGGTGGAGTCTCCAGCCATCCCGCCGATCCCCTGCGTCACGCCTGAGACCGTGGGG